ACAATAAAAGATCAGGATTCAGGAAGACAGAAGATGGCAATTGACATTACAGTTAAATTAAATAAAGAGACCTAGTTGCCAGTATGCTTAATTTCATGTGGTTGAGGTACTAAGGAGCTCATTAGAATAATTGTTGTAATATAAACAAGACTTAGCCATTTCTAGGTTTAAACTTAAACTCTCAATATTAGAGGTTAAATGAGTTCTCAGAATTGATCATGAGATAAGCCACAAGCACAATTTGATTAGAACTTAAATTAGAAATGCTCTCTAGTTGAAATTATTACTTCAATTTCGAGCCTTAATTTGTATTGTTAAATGGTTAGTATAGATTTGAGCCTAAAATTTTAATCTTTTTTCTCTGAGTTAGAAACAATATTAAATTTTGTATAAGTGATGCATTTATTTTCTTAGGAATTTCCACCAACTTTATGAACTTTGAATGTTGACTAGTATTTCTGATTTACTCTTTTGCTGCTTTTGAAATAAATGAGCAATAAAATAAATGAAGGTAATTCTAAAATTAAAAATAAAGATAGAACATTGTTATATATTTGTAACTATGTTTGAGATGACCATGACCCATGCATTGCTATTTTCTGTTATAAATATACATGTATATTTATTAAAGATTTTATTGCTTCATAAAACCCTCAGTACTTTATTAAATTGAATTATATAGTTAATTTTTTTCTTCTATTCTACTTCCAGCTTTTATCTCTCATATTTATTTTTTTTCTTTTGCCTTTTGACTCCAACAACAGATTCACAATGCAAGTCTAAGTTTTATTGCATTGTTACTCAACATAATTATTATCTATGAGTTAATAAAATTTCAAGAGCAATGTCTCTGCTATAATCCAGATTCTTTGTAAAGAGGTCAACTTGGTAAGATTTCCTGACTCAGTCTTTGATTGATATCATTCCTTTATACACAAACAGAAAGGTCAACTGGCAACAACTGGTAAATTCTTGAAGTGTTCATTATGTTAATTATTCATCAGATAAGTCAACATTCCCAATAATGGGCAAAGACCACTCTCAACATTGCATGTGTTTGTCAGCAGTTGGAAAGTAAGGACAATTGAAGATTTTCAAAAGATTTCTATATCAGAATAATTTTGATTACACTAATAATTGTATCTTCTTGGACAGAAACTGCCAGATGTCAAAGGTCATTATCTTGGCATTAATTGTTCAGGCTTGGTTCTATCTTGATTGCTTGAATTTGTACAATTCAGACTTTCTCTCTATATTATCTTTATTATCATGAACATAACATTTTCAATTATTGGTTAGAATTTTATTTATGGCAATAATGTATCAGATGATCTTTGATAACTGTTCTCTGTTGGCATTTCAGTTTGAGGAACCATAGGTGGCTTATGATAATCTTTGAATTTTAGGCATAACTAATTAGGCTAGACTTATTTTTACTTAAAAATATTGTCATGGCATCAGACATAAAACATGGTAAGAATTAGTGTGTCTATGTATGTATATAATATATATATAAAATATTGTAGAACATGCCTATGAGTATAGTAGAATTAGTAGGCTCTTCTACAGGCTATGATTGGTAAATTGTCACCATTTTATTTTTTTTTCAATTTCACTCATGCACATTGTTTGTTTTTAATTTTGTCAATTACACAATATAGTAGGGGTCACTGGGTACTATCTGTGAGAAAAAGAGCACTATGATGCAATTCACTCAGCCAAAAATTTGGAAATGGCATGCTGTACTGTATTGGCATTCATGCCGGAAACTCTAATAGAAACATTTCAGAGTATTTAGGTGTCAATCTGAGGAGAGTGCAGAGGATTTGGAAAGAGATGGATGAGTCTAATGGTGATTACAAAGGTATTTGGAGTGATCACTAGTGGTGGCAATGTTATGCCTCCATTCATTTTCTTACAGGGCTTCAGACTCAACATGGAAGCCTACATCAAGTGCCTTGAGGTGGTAGTGCTTCCCAGGTTCAAGAGGGTGGCTGCTGGAAGGCCCTATGTCTAGCAACAGGACTCAGCACCATGCCATACAAACAAAAGAACCCAGTCATGGTTGTCAGACAATTTCTGTGATTACATAACCCTTTACATCTGGCCACCTAACTCCCCAGACTGCAACCCTCCTTGATTATTATGCGTGGGGTGCAATTGAGTGAAAGACCAACAAAACACCTTGTAACACCAAAGATGAACTGAAGGCAAAGATTATGGCAGCATTCACCAACTTAAACAAGGAGACCATCCAGAAGAGTTGCATGATATTCCAAAGTAGACTTGAAGCCATGGTTGAAGCAAATGATAATTTTACTAAATAAAATTACTCTTTAGTATTTCAAGATATTTTTATGTTATTTTGGTAAATATATCTGTTAAAATGAGATGTCAGTGTTGTTTTCATTTTTGCGTAATTTAGACAATAATTTATCCATTGCACCCTGAATGTTAGGTGTACTGGTATTGTCACTTACACCCTTATGTGCTATGAAATTATTTTGTGTCTCAACCATATATCCCTGATTTTATACTTTGCTTATTAGTCAACTGCTAGTTTTTATGAAGGCCATTGTTTGTTTGTTTTTGTTTTTTGTGCTTATAAAGTCAACTGATAATATAAATTATTATTATGAACTAGAATCTAAAATATATTTATTTACTCACTTTGATCATCAGTAACTGCTATCTTTTATTGTATTCAGTTTAATTTCATAATTAAGTGTAAATGTTACAATAAAGACTAAATTTAAAAATTATTACATCCTTTATATTTGATGTATTATTCTAAATATCTGAAAAAGTTTGCTTACTCATTGAAAACCAATCTTTATGTGCAATGTCAAAATAAAATGCTTTTTCTGTGTATTTTTATTATTAATGCACTGTTTATTTTCCAACCTCATTTGTAATGAGAAACCTAAGTAAACATGCATGCATATGTGTATATGTATGTATGCATGTCTGGTATATTATGTTCCAAAATAACTTTTGGCATCATTCTCTTTGTGTTACATGCCAATAGGTAGAATGATTAGTTCTGATAAGTTGAAAGATGCAAGCTTTTCCAATTTTGTTTTCTGCTCTGTTGTAGTTGCATGTAATAAAATAAAATATGTGTCCACTTCAAGTCAATATTGCATGCTTTAATAAGCAGCATAATGGTAGTAATAGCAGTGGCAGTAAGGATTGTAATGTCAAATAATAATTATATTGCTAGCAATTTAACGTGTATTTGGGAAGGAAATACAAGAGTGAACAATATTTTTTTCCCCCATTTATAGCTGAGATTTTACTGTCCTCAATAGAATGATAAATGAATCCTCTTTTTTTATTTGATTTGAAATTCGTTTTTTATATTTAAGACTAAATTACAAGTCATGAACTATGTTTTAAACTAATGTATCTTTTTAAAATCTTATCCAGGAAACTAATTTTTAAAAAGTAAAGGAAGTCTAGATTGGATCCTTTCCCCACCAAAAAAATGTTAAGCTTGTGTGAAACTTCATTTCCTGTATGTTTAAGTTTTTGTTTAAAAGGAATAATGGTAATATTAACCATTTCCTTGCAAGCAAACATTTGGCATTCATTGACTGAGCAACCAGTACTGCTTTTGGTTAAAATTTATAAAATCTTATAAGAAAAATAGGTTTCTCAAGTCTAGTACCTTTTATCATTCTTTCCACTAATGATGTAGACAAACTTGAGAACATTATTCCAAGTTTGTCAAAATAAAGAACTGATGATAAAATTAGTAGAAAGCTAAGTGCAGCTGTAATTGCAGCCATCAAAAAATAAGAAGTGTAGAAAGAATTGAGAATAGCAATGAATACAGATATAGAAATCATATTGGTGTAAGATGATACAGTGTGGTTATGGATGAGAAAAAGAAAATATTTGCAGCAGAAAGATTATTATTCCTAATGTTTATTTTCATTTGGATATTTTTTTTTCATATTTAACTTTTCCTGAAAGAGTTGGCATCTACACGAATTTCCTGTTGCTCTGTGTAAATGTACAAAGCCAAAGAAATTGGCAAAGAATTTGCGATTCCTGCTCAGTTGGATCCAGATTGAAAATGGCTTCCAAGACAGAAATAATAAATGAATGGAATGGAATTTTAGAAATACACACAAAGTGAAAGAAAAAGAATCTTTATTTTCTGAAAGATTAACTTTTTTTTTTTTATTTTTTTTTTAATGTTTATGAGAGTAACATTGCCTGTAACTTATAAAACATTTTAATTTGTTGATATCGTAGGCGAAACATTCCATTGAGTTATAAATTGACTCCCACTCTCTACCCAATTATAATCAATAAATACTTCTCCACACATTATAGATTCTTTGAAATCTATGTCCAACATTGATATTGTAATCAGCAAATGATTCATCACCTTTTTGTCTGAATAAAATTAGAAGCAGTTGCTTGAAATTTTCCTGACCATTAAATTAATTTATATAACCAGCACTAATATTTCTGATGATCTTGTAAGACTTGTAACTTATTTTGATTACATTTAATGCAACTTCTGAAAATGATGCCAATGTTAGTGATGCTGTTAAGTATAAAGACCAGTTGATATCGATCCATGAGAAGTGGGAACTCCTTAAGAATCTAGACTATCGTTTCTGTGATATCATATGTGATGTATAAATTCTGGGATATGTAATGTATAGATTCATTAAATGATATTTTTATATTGACATTAGAAAGATATATATATGAGTGATTTGTTTTTTTAGGATTTATCAACCTTTTGTAGGTTATTTCAAGCTAGAAAATATTTATAGATTCTAAGACTTTTTTTGGATAATGATGATTTACTGATACAAGGCCTACTAGTTAACCAATAGCTGTGGGGAGAAGAGGTGGCTTCATACCTTTCCCCAAGGGTATTGCATAAGTGAATATAACAAACCTGATTGGAATTGGAACTTGGCTCTGTCCAATTTCCAACTCCAAGTTGTTATCCATTACACCACCTGCTCATCCAAGCCTACAGCACCTGGTATTTTCAAGTGGTTACCCATCTAGGTACTGACAAGACTCTATGTTGCTTAACTTTGGTGATCATACAAAAACCAGTGTTTCAATGTGATATGGCTGTAAGTCTATAAAGATATTGAGCATTATTAAAGTGATAATAGAATAATTATTTGATTTTGTTCATCTGTCAAACTCATTTATCTAGGAAGTTTTTTTCCATTCTTTCTTAGAATGACACGTGTCAGAAAACTGATATTGTGCCTGTACCAAAGTAATCCCTATAACTTTGGGTTCACTTTGACCTGTATTAAAAGATGTAAATGTTTTAAGTAATCATCATAAATCTGCTACCTGTAATCTCTTAGAAGAAAGTTCCCAAAGTTTCAGACATTTTAAGTATAAATTGTTTTTAATTTCCCAGAATAGGTATCAATTTCACATATATTCAAACTTTCACAATATCATAAGAATATAATTTGTAAGTAGTTGAGGATGTATCTGCTGCATAATTTCAAAGTTGATTTTGGTTCATTTGAATCTATGCAATTAATCAGCCAGACAGTCACTAAAATAACATGGCACTGCAAGAACGAGAGATAACTGCCCAAGGTAAAATTCTTTGTTATGCTATTGTTGAAATTTTCTACAATATGTTATTTTTTCTATATCAGATCTTGTAAAAATGATATCAGAAACTTGTTGGACATCATGATTAGTTATTGATTTAATGTCTATACAAGCATAATTAACTAATATTTGTACTCAGTATGAAATTGTAATATTGAAGCCAAATCCTATTTTGTGATAATATTTTATCCTTTTTCACTTGAATTTAAACAAATAGTTTTTTTTTTTTTTAATTTCTCCTCATCATCTTTTGAATAAAGATCAATTAAAACCAGTTATTCTCAGAATTTATCTACAGGAATATTACTGAATTCTTATCTGTTTTTCATTTTCTTTACTATCATCATAACTTTCATCCCACCTCTTATCTCTCTCTCTCTCTTTTTTTTTTTTTTACTGCACCTCAGATTTGACCTTTTTGATGCCTCATCCTTTAAGTCAGCACAATAAACCTTGTCAATCTTTCTACTAATGAACAATCTACAGAACTGGCTTTCCAAATCTGATTCGACCAGTTAATCACCAAGAGTTAAACCATCTTGTTCATATTATTCAACCTTCTTTATGGTATCAAGTCAGACATTGCTGGATTATAGATGTCATACTTCATGCTTGGATTTGCACAGCAAAACTGGTAAAGATTTCTGCAGCATTTATTTGGTCATTGGATGTTGTTCTTTTATAGCACTCCTTAGTTTTTATTAATGGTAAATAAAAGCCTTGGATGTCAAGTGCTGAACTGTTGGCTTGTCAAACTTGTATAGTTGGCATCTTAAGATTTGAATACTTTTTCTTTCTCCACTTGTAAAAGGCAGGTTACTTCTTTCTTTTCTTTTTTTCCCTTAGTAAACCTCAGTTTTTAATAAAGTGGTTTTTGTTATAAAAATTTAATGATAGATATCTCAGTGAAATGCATTCATTTTTCTCTGGATAGTATTAAACTAAAAAAAAAAAAAAGTTGATAATTCGTTTTTTTTTTCTCCATTTTCAATTCAGTTATCCATTCTTGACCATATTACATATAACTGAAAGACAAGTGGTACATCTGGGTTCACTCAATTTCAGTAATGTTCAGAAAAAATCTTTGATAGATAATATCTGGTGTAATTTTGTGACCTGTCAAAAGTATGTGCAAATTTATGGATATTGATATGAATTAATTTTTGGATTATAGATGACTGTCAAGTTTTATTTCCAAAGTAAATACAAAGTAGATGGGTCATAAAGATCAAAGTCTGTTACTGGCTATGTCTTAACTGAATAACATTTGCTGAAACACTTTGTAAAATCCTGATGGTTTTCATCAGGATTTTACAAATTTTATGAAAGATCATTGTTTTTGAAAAGTAAGTTTTAGTTCTCTACATTTGAGGAAAACAACAGTAAACTACATCTGGCAGTAAGTCTTCTGATTGAGAGATTGGAGGTTTTGATGAGTGTGGAACCACCTCTTAATTCAATGCTTCCCAAATGGTGTGGTGCACCTCATGTGTGGTGGAAGAGGATAGCAAGTGAGGCAGAATGATTGAAAAACAAAGATTTAGAAACAGTTTAAAAAATCATATGCCAGTAAATATGATTTAAAATATTATGGATTATTTGTAATTCCATGCATGAGTCCCAGTGTAAATTGTTATAAATAATTATTGACTGATTTTATCATTGTGATATTTTTGCATTATATCAAGTATTAAGAATGTAATAACTAGGCTCCACAATTTGGAGGAGAGAGTTATCAATGATAATGTTCTGACTTTAAAACGTGGTTATCTCCCTTTAATTCCAAAAATGTGGCCAAGAGAAAAAAGTTTGGGAACCACTGGTCTGTCATTTGTTTTCAAATTGTCTTAATTGTTGTTGTTCCCAGGTTCATTCTGACCTGAGATGGTAGCACCTATTAGGGTCCCAGCTATGGGAAAATAGTGTTTTTATTTTTGTTTGGTGGTTCACTAAAAAAGTATAAAAATAAATTATGGTAAAAATACCAGCAATATATTTATAGCAAAATAACCAGTAGTAATATATTTTTATAGCAAAATGATAATCAATACAGCACTAAAATATGAAAATACGTTTTTATAGTAAAATTACCAGCCATATATTTTATCTTCTCTGAACTATATATCAAAAATCGTATGTTTCCCATGAAAGTATAAAATTATGTACAAAATATCTGTAGTTGAAGCCATAAATATTTACATTTCGGCATTAAATAAGCCACAGAGGTTGATATGCTGCTAAACAAAAACAACCAAAACCATTTGAGGAAACACCTCAAATAACATGCCATTTGAAGTGATGAATAAGGATTATCTCCCCTGTATTGATAGACCTTTCACCTGGTCAGTGTTGATCATTTGTGCTTGTTACTATTCCGTTCTTTTTTGTCAATTTCTTTATATCGTTTTGGCTAAGATTTGTTTGGGATTTACAGACATTTTTTGATTCATGTCATTTATAAATCTATTTTAGTCAGTCATGTGTCATGCAGGATACGAAGCAGATTTTTTCTCGCAGTAGGTTGTCATTTTTTTCTGTGGTAGACTAGTTGCCATCAAAAGCTATAGAACCTGGTTTGTCCTGCTATTTACCCATAGCTGGGGGGAAAAGAAGAGGATTCATACCTTTCCCAAGAGTATTAGTATGTGAGTGAGTGTAATGGATCTGACTGGAATTTAAACTCGGCTCTCCAATTTCTCAATCCAAGCCACTATCCATTACTCTACTGTGTCTATTTAAAATATAATAATGAATCCTTTGTGTTTTTCAGTTGATTTATAATAATATGCAGCAGGCTCCAATTGTTATATTCTATCAATATCTGCTTTCTTCATTACATAAATATGTCAAAATATACAGCTATGTCTTAGCTTTAAAATGTCATAAAATGAAAAAAAAGGCAAGATATATTTATCATTGTTTAAGTTTATTTTAAAAGCATAAAAAAAACCTCCAAAAAATAATTGTTGACTAATAAGCCAAGTGTAAAATCAGACACACACACAAATGTTATAGCACATACCAAAAGAAGGAAGTGACAATACTGATAGACCTATGAATCTATAAGAGCCTATTAATTCTATTATACTCAGAGGGAAGTTCTGCAATTTATGTGTAATATTTCTGTGTGGGGTCTTTCGGTATGAAAGACAAGTAGATTCGTTTGACAGTTGTTTATCCCAAGTTCACATGTTCAAATGTGTGTACAGTGTCTGCACTTCATGTTGAGCACTCGTTCAGGAAAATGTCCCATATCAAAGGACATAACTCTGGTTGCTAATTTCTGCGTTCATGCTACAATATGATAATTCTAAGTTTTATATGCTACTTCTAAACAATTTTATGTTTGATGCCATGACAATATTTTTAAGTAAAAATAAGCCTTGTTTAATTAGTTATGCCTAAAATTTAAGGATTATTGTATACCACCTACAGTTCCTCAAAATGAAATACCAACAGGCACCAGCTATGCAAAAATGACATGATGAATCTAATACATTATTGCCATAAATAAAATTCTAACCAATAATTGAAAATGTTATATCCATGATAATAAAGATAATAATATAGATGTGTAGTCTGAATTGTACAAATTTTTGGCTTTGTCTTTGAAACAATCAAGGTAGAATCAAACCTGAACAATTAATGCACCTTTGACATCCAGCAGTTTCTGTCTAAGAAGATATAATTATTACTGTAATTAAAGTTATTCTTATATAGAAATCTCTTGAAAATATTTAAATAGTAACAAGTTGGTATTATAACCTTACCGTTAACAATTCTCTTTAGTCTTTGCTGGCTAATGTACACACACCCACCTATTGACTGTCAAATGAGAATATTTGAAATCAATATCTATATTTCCGAGATGAGGCATTATGTACACTATTTACATTGTTCGGACTATCATCCTCATCTTTGTTGCCATATTTATCACACCCTTTCGGCCGTTGTATGCTCTGGCCTTCTTCAGCTGGTTGGAATGTCAAACTGAATGCTTTATTTCGCTCGTTGGGGTAGACTGTTCTAGTTCCATGTGCCATGTCTAATTGATATCAGTTATTAGTTATCTCCTGTTAATTCCCCTCTCCAAATTCTCCGCTGCATTAACCAGGTATTGAACTCACACTCTTTGGGTCCTGTCACTGAATCTATCTAACACCTTTATCCACTGTGCCATGTATCCTTGAAATCAACTTTTAAATCAGATTAACTTATATGTTGACATATATAATAAAATAAGATGTTGATACCTTTTGATGAGTGCCTTAACTAAGGACTACAATTTGTAGCTAAAAGCAACTCTACTTTTTGTTTGTTTTTTTATATTTTAGTATTTAGATTTTCTTGTGAGTATTTTTATTATTTTGGATTATCTAAACTCTAAAATTCATCAGCTATCAATTTATTGCCAATCTTTGTCTTTTGGAATTCAGAAATCTTAAAATGAAATCTATTTAAGTCAAAGTTCTATCAGTTCACAGCATAATTTATT